GGGTAGGTGGGGAGGCCTTCCCGGGAGGGCTCCTAAAATTTCATGGAAAGTAGATTCTCCGAACCTGACTGTGTTTTCTCCTTCTATAATGAACGCCTTCTTTCTAAGTGTAAGTGCAAAGGCCTTTGGGCCCTGCTTGCCATTTTCAGCATGTTACATGTATCGCATCTGTATTTTCTCAGATCCATTCTCACATATACACTGGGCTGGGAAACCTCCCATGTGAATCCCTGAATGAGTTATCATATGGTAGTAAGTCTGGGCTTCCGGGTGACAGTGCCGGGGAAGAACCGGAACCCACCACCAACACTATAGACTTATTGACCCCTAGAAGAGATGTATGGACAGTCACTGCCCATCACATCGGTGTACGTTCTGCCAGGAAGTGCTGAGAGCATTCTCTCCACAGCTGAAAGTCTTGTTCATCACTGCATCCCGGGACTGGAATGTCATCTAACAGAACATCAGCAAATGCTTCTTGAATGAATGAAGGATGAAAGAACACAACTTTTTCCACCCTAATTTCAAAACACATGGCCCCATAACCTTCTCAGAAGATAGAAATCAGTGAAGAAAACCTAATGCCCCATCCTCAGAATCTCAGCACCAGAAATCAATTACCAAAGGGTTTGATCCTCAAATGACACCCAAGATCTCTGACAGTGTCTGGTTACTAAACAGCTTTTCTAAAATGTATTTTATACCAAATTTTAATGCCTTCTTTCAACTCATCACTAAAATGATGGCTTTAACTATATTGAAATACACCTGTAACATATTCATTTTGTTCTAATATTCGTTTATTATATTCACTTGTTGTCACCCAAAAGAAAATAGAGATAGCTGCCAGGTTTTGACAGGTAATTGTCCACGATGCCCTGTCTCCCTGGTATCCGAGATGTTCGTGCTGACACTCAGTAGGCAGTTTTCTAAGAGTAAGTTTGTTCCATCACATTTCATCTTAAAATGAAATAATTACCTCCTTATTTTCAAAGCCTCTGTCCACTCACTCTATATGGATTAAGGCCAACCCACTACACTGCTTGGGTATTTGAGTGGCATATAATGAATGTCACTGACCAAAATGATTCCTGGGTTTATATTTCAATGACTCATGGGTGTGAAATCAGTTTGTTAAAATCTCTATTGCACCTTACCCTTAATTATAGGTATGATATATTATTCAAAGCTATACCATAAGAATTCTTCCACTCAGAAGACTTTATAGAGTGCTATTGGCAGTTATCTGCTTGATGAAGGATTTGCCTGGACACAAATTAGAATGGCCTGCAAACCACCATCACTTAGGAATACAGCAAGTGGAGCACACAGCTACGGAATAGGAGGTGCTGGAATTGATCTGATGAGCGCTTCCTCCTCTACTCCCTCTTAATTTATTATTAATGGTCCTGGAATTGGAGGCTCGCAGATATTCGTTAAAGATAAATTCACCAGTAGATGGCGTAACTGAGTTACATTGTCTTCACCACACTATCCTACTGGGGCCTTTATGCAGACTTTTGCTCCCTAAATTCATGCATTTAAATCCTTCAATTGCTGTGTAGCTTTTCCTTTTTTACATCTGCTGTACTCTAATTGCATTTTCTTCCTCCTCCCATCATATCTGCTATTTATGACAGGAAAATCACCAAGGAAGGAGATGGGACATGACATTAAACTCCATAAAAGCCAGCACCTCACCCACCACTGTACCCCTCGTAGTAGTATTATAGGTATTATAGGTGGCACACAGGAGGTCCTGGATGTGTGTCCAAAGAATAACCAATGAACGAAAGAACAGAAACTGCAAGCCATGGAGGAACAGGACAGACTCTAAATAAAAGGCCTTGGAACAGCTTCCTGGCCTGTAATGTCAAAGACACAGTCAGTTTGTTGTGGGGAGGAACTGAAATAATGTAAGTGGAAGCTCCATGAAAATGGTGAAGCACTACCCAGAGAGAGCAGCTCGAGTGTGACCATGAGCTGTGAAGGAAATCAAATGAAGCTGACAATGAGGCCTGCAGCTCGGAGCTGCAGTGACAACGCCAGGGTCACTCTCAGAGCACAGCGCAGTCCGTATTTACTGAATGAATTTGGTGACCTCACAGATCAGAGATGGAGAAATATCACTGAACTTGGGACCATGGGAGGAAGGCCCTTCATCGCAAAGAATCAACAGTTACAAAAGCACTTTTTCTTGATTTTATTATTAGATGTTAAACCAATAATATAGAAACTAACCTTTACCCAGGTTACAAAATAAGAGTTTTTCACGTTTCAAAGTCTCTAAGGTTAAGGGTAATCCCCACATGAATGAGTACAGGTCATCCTCCTTTGGTTTTGGGATTCTTTCTAAAACACCATTCTAGACTATTGAGCTTTCCCTGTGTACTTACAGCTCGGATCAGAAACTTGAGAAATGACAGGTGGCCAGACAGAAGGCATAACAAATAACTGAGCTTTGTGTGAACTTTTCCCCAATCAGGGTATGTGCTCAGCTCCTGAAAATCAACTGTAGGATGCACGATTCTCATTGCTTAGCGATAGTTTAGAAAAAACCTTTGAACACAATACACAAAGTATGTGTTGCATGGTTTTAATACACACTGAAATTTCTGGGAATGCAATTGCTGTGTAAATTAAGACCGTAAGTTTTTTGTTTGTTTGTTTGAAACATTACCAAGAATTAGTTGTCCACCATTTCAGAAAGTGATAACTGATGACCACACGGTGACTTTCTGTTGCCAGTAAACACATTGGTCTGTGTTTGTAGCTGCTGACCCCGTATACAAGTTTAGGCATCTAACAACTTGATTTTACCTTCTAGGGTGGTTCCACCCAAGATTTTTAATTGAAATGCATTTTATTAAACAGTCTTTTCCTTCTTCTGGATTTATATTCAATTAGAGTACTATGTTCATTGCTTAAAATTATGTGTACATATAGACCATATTAATTTTGACTTTCACTTCAGAACATCCCGAATGAAATCTTTGTTCTAAAAGAAACATGGAGTCTGGCGGGGTGAAGAGAACCTCTAATTCCACCCAACCTCTTCACTCTACAATGGAACTGAGGCTTAGGGAGTGAAATAACTTGTTCCAGGCCACAAAGTCGGGACTGGCAGCTACCTAGGCTTCTAGAACACTGCCTTGCCTCCAAGTGGAGACGACATAAACACACAAAGAAGGGGACAAATTAAAGTCACACCTCAGAACAAGTTGGTGGCCATTAGACTGAAGGGGCAGGGACTAAGGAGGCCCCCACCACCCTCAACCCATACACCTTTCAGCACAGAAACAAGATGCTTTAGAGAAATTGCTGTGTGTTTGATTTCACCTGAAGGGCATTGGGTGCTGCTTCTGGTGCTGAATTTTGCAAATTGAGCTGTGGCCAGTTCAAAGTGTCTCTCTAAAAGTTATATGGGAAAGCAGACATTTCTGAGACTTCTGTTTAAGGCTGGCTTGAAAGTGAAAAAAAAAAAAGCAGAAGAAACATTACTTATCTCAAGAATGAATGTGAACTTTTTTTTTTTTTTGGAGACAGGAGTCTCACTTTGTCACCCTTGGTAGGGTGTCCTGGCGTCACAGCTCTTAGGCTCAAGTGATTCTCTTGCCTCAGCCTCCCAAGTAGCTGGGACTACAGGCACCCACCGCAATGTCTGACCATTTTTAGAGATGGGTCTTCCTCTTGCTCAGGCTGGTTTTGAACTTGTGCACTCAAGAACCCACCTTGGCCTCCTAGAGTGCTAGGATAATAGGTATGAGCCACCTTGCCTGGCTTGAATGTGAACTTTCAAGAGTAGTCAAGGGGACAAGGGACATATGCTGAATTTAAAATCAATAAGTGATGTCCCTAACTCAAATCAATAAATGGTGTGCCTAATTTTAGGCATTTTTTATGAGGTGGAGTTCATAGGGGGTCTGAATTTGCAAACAACTATCATAGGTAGATAGGATGGGTGAAAAACATGTCCTAGGTAACTTTTATATTTAACACGTGCATTAAAACAGGATAAAACATTCCTGTGTGATAAGTAGGAGGCAATTAAGATTCATCTCAAAGCTGGCTTCTAATCAAATCACTGCTCCACATTTATGGAGCAAGAAAGCTTTCTCAAACAGGTAGCCTAGCCATCCATTCGGTACTCAGCTAAATCAAACTGGGCCCTCTCAGAAGAAGAACAGAGAAGCAATCACATTATGTTCTCTTAAATAATCACTTACTACACTCAGCCTTCGTCACTGCTACTGATATGAGTTCCCCTACCTGAGATTGGGATTGTCTTCCAAACCTTAAAATGAAATTAAAACACTCAAATATTGGTTTTATGTTATAGCTGAGACCAATAATTACAATATTTATGATCAATCTGTAAATTAAAATGACTCATCTTTTCTTTTGGACTCAGCATGGTAAAGACTTTCTCCACTTTAGTTCAAATAGTTGCTATTAAGAAGAGACTAGCATTGGGTGTCACCTGCGGCTCAAAGGAGTAGGGCGCCGGCCCCATATGCTGGAGGTGGTGGGTTCAAACCCAGCTCTGGCCAAAAAAAGACATACTTTAAAAAATAATAAAATAAAATAAAGAGCCTAGCAGTTCGGGCAGCACCTGTAGCTCAGTGGGTAGGGTGCCGGCCCCATATACCGATAGTGGCAGCTTCAAACCCGGCCCAGCCAAATTGCAACAAAAAAATAGTCGGGCATTGTGGCCAGCGCCTGTAGTCCCAGCTACTTGGGAGGCTGAGGTAAGAGAATCACCTAAGCCCAGGAGTTGGAGGTTGCTGTGAGTTGTGTGACGCCATGGCATTCTACCAAGGGGGTGACAAAGTGAAACTCTGTCTCTTCAAAAAAAAAAAGAGCCTAGCATTTCAAGATGGAAATCCTGAGCCTCTGTAATGGACTTTGCTTGGAATGAATATGATCCTAAACACCTATGCAATCGTTTTTATGAAATTAATGGAATCTGTATCTATAAAATAAAATAAAATGCAATATAGCTAAAGTTACAAATGCACTAAGCCAAAACATTTAACTCTCTGTGTGGAGTGATACACAGAATTGCCTTTTCACATTATCTTAAGTGAGGTCTGAGGCAGACACAGCAGGCAGATGAAGGCACCGGGAATTTCGCTGTTACGATGACATACTGCCGCAAAGGAATGTGTCTGGTGGTTTTAAAACCCTAGGGAGAAAAATAAACAATTCATTACTTTGGCCGCTTTCTTAGATTTTTCTTTCCAAAGCACCTAAATGAAAGAGGGGTGGCTACTCTGGGTTTGCAGCAATGAAACCCCCCAATTGGAGTCTCCTACTATGTAGCCCCTAGGACCTGCTGGGGTCCTAAGGACAGGAGAGGGCCCCCAGCTGGCAGGTGTGCAGTGGACGGAAAGATGCCTCCCAGGAAGCAAAGCATTCATTTTGCTGCACAATACCAAGTACTAGAAAGGGCGGTAGAAAAGCAGAAAACTTGATCCATCCCAACTATCCCACTTACCTGACAATCCACATCTTATTGGAGAAGGGCTCCGACTTCGAGATATCTGGAAAATATAAAAATGTAACATAAATTACATAGTAGATGGAGCTCTAAGGATCAATCCTTTTGACATGTTTTTGTCCTAAAACCAGCTAAATAATTTGCTCTGAGGCACTTTAGAACTATTGATTTTTCTTCCCTTTACAGTTGACCACTGAAATTTCTTCGATACTTCCTGAAGTACATGGGCCTTCACTTTGGTTTAAATTATATTATTAATTAAAAGCAGAGCCCAATGGCATGAGAATGGCCATGCTGAATTTAATGCTTTTTAGAAAATAAAAATAATTATTGTAACTAATTAAAGCTAAAATGATATGATCTCTGGCAGATCCTTTCTATACATTATCTCACATGTCCAAAACTCTGCCTTACTAAGGAAAATTACCAAGCAACCAGAAAAAGAAATCATTTTCCAAATATGACCTTTACTACCACTAAGCTAAAGGTACCACACGGTAACCCTTAGTCTGTTATAGCTCAGACATAACACTACAAGCATCTCTCTTGCTTTGAGTTTTCAGACATGGAATCTATTCTGGATGAATCAATACCTCAAATAAGGAAAAAAAAAGCACCAAAAATATTTAATTTTTTATTGTGTAGGCATACCCAGTTTTATTTGATGAAAAGATGATAGAGACAGAACCTTAGCGTCAGCTTCACCTTTGAGACTTTATTTTACTCTCATCTAAAGTTTAATGTGTTCTCCCTGAGCAAAAATATGAGAAAGAGAAAGAAGGTGATTCTAGGGGCTTATCACAGAGACACCACCCACGGATAAGCCTTCCAGTGAGAGTCAGCGTGAAACCCGCCCTGGGTTTACCACAACAGGTACCTAATATTACTCTTTCTTCTGATGTGCCACATCCTCTCTGAGTAGGGAGAATTATGATTTTTCCCTTACGAGTCCTCTCAAGATTTACTTATCATTTATCAATCCACAAAATGCACTTTTATCTACTTTTGTGTAAATAAGGATAATTAAGCTATATTAAAATCTGCACGTCAGATGCAAGCCTTTTCCATTTCCCTAGCATTTCTTAGGCCATCTTCTTCATCTAAACCCTCCTTCCCATTCCCCAGCCCGTTGAATTTCCACCCATTCTGAAAGGCCGAATCAGACCCTAGTTCCCTCAGGACCATATCCACATGGAACCTCCATCTCCTTTGATGGTTTACGCATCTTTTAGGGACCGCATCATACAATATCACATTGTGGGCTTGTGATTTACAGACTATATCACATCCAGTCACTTCATTACATGGAGACCCCTTCAGGGAAGAGATCGTCTTTAGGTAATTTCTGTGTCCCTCTCAAATCTAGCTCCATCAGACACAGAAGGAATGTTCAGGCAAGACTATGATGGAGCCATATTAGACGCTCCCTAAACTCAGTAAGGAAGCTGGGTCCTCCGAACTGCTGGAGCTTTGGCTGTTTGCTTATTTTGTTGGGGAGGTTTTGCAGCATCAGGTTGCAGCCCCAGGCTAGAGACAATTGTGGAGAAGCAAAGCACTGGCAGACGTGGTTCTCCTTCTCTACCTCTCTGCCTTCTAAAACAAGATTGAATAAATAAGTAAAGAATTTTTACTGGGACAGCCCTGTAGTCAGAAGGCGTTGACTAGACATTGTTATTTGTTGAAAAATGAACAGTCACGAATCATCAGAAGGTTTCTAGAGATGTTATCTCCATAGTTTTCAGATGTGTTTTGCCGTTTTTTCTTTGAAAGAAGTACCATAGTATTCCTTCCAAGTACTAATACATCATGAAACAAATCTTATTTTTCCTATTTTGAAGTTGGGAACAATTAATTCCTGTAATGCTGTTCATAAACTATTGAAATCAAGACCATTTGAGCAATTTCTCCAAACTCATACAATAATTTCTAGAAGAAACAAGGGCCTGTGTCTGGATCAGTTGACCAAGGTATCCCATTCTCTGTTCAGAAAACCATCTGGTCCTTATTTAATAGCCCATTTCATCCACAGGTAGACACAAAACTATGAAGTAAGTCCTTGAAGTAACTCAGAAGAAAAAACTTTACTTCCCAATTTGGGGTCAGCATTATTGCAACAGGTTCTCTTTCTACCTTTAACTTATAAACACCTCTTTAATAGGTGACGTGTCAACCATAGCTGAGTTTTGTGTAAAAATGAGTAGACAGATATATACCGTGCTTAGACCAATACGGCTACGGGAGCAGATAGGACTTAAACTCCTGCTTCGACATCGAGTTACAGGCCGCACCGAATTCCACTTAAAAAAGAGAGAGGGAGAGAGTCAAGGCTTTGCAAAAGCTGACACGGCTTAGAACACCACGCGTAGCCCACAGAATGAGTGGTTTTACTCATTATTCTAATCCCCCTTGGCCGCCGCTGCTCAGCTCACCAACACAAGCTACAATCTTTTCATTTCCTACAGCTGCCTAACCTTAGGTGCTTCTCAGATAGAATCCCATGACAATGAACTTGGAAATATTCAATTCTTTGTGCTAGCAGAATTTTTTTTTTTTTTTT